AGTATGTCTCAGGGGCTGCCGCGCAGCTGCAGCAGTGGAGCGACAGGCTCAGACCCCATCCCTATGGAGCGCCCTGCCAGGCCCTGGACACCGCACTTCAACCCCGGGAAGGGAGCGTGGCCCATGCCGGTCCTGCCGCGACACCGGGCCGTGGGACGAGCACGGGGCTCCCCGGCGGCAGGTCCAACAGCAGGTCGTCTTTCGTGACACTGGCGTCCAAGGCACTGCCATGGTCATCGAATCCCCAGGGAGGGGAGAAGGGAGCAGACCCGCCTGCGTGCCACGTGGCCGTGCACAGCTTCGCACTTCCTCTGTCCGTCAACAGGGTTTGCTCAGCTCTTCCCTCCCGGGCTAGGACGTATCCCCAGTCTTCTGCTCCCCAGGGACAGCCCCAGGCATCCTCAGGAACTGGTGGCCAGCATGGACCCCCGACTCTCTCCCGCGTGGATGGCTGCTGAGCCTGGCGCAGGGAACCAGGCTCTTGTGGGCTGGGCAGGTTGCTGGGCAGGAAGCTTTCTTGACACCAGGTCTTCGGTTACGGAGGACACATGAGTTTCCCAGGTGTACAGCCGTTATCTTGGTTTTAGCACGCTCCAGCTGGGCTGGGTCCCTGTCACTCAGAGCCCCTCTTCAGGTCTGGGGGCTAGGAAGCTCTCACGCAGCCTGCGGCAGGAATGGTCTCCAAGGGTGATTTAACAGTGTAAGAAAAACAGTCCTGTGTTCCTAACTTCTCTGTGTGCTAAAACTAAAATATAAAATACACCTTGTCCTAGAAGGCAGGGGATTGGCGTCGGCTCTGCAGAGTAGTAAGGATGCATTGTGTACACTTCCCCCGAGGCACCAGGGCAAAAAGAGATCTCAAGATGTGAATGATTACGTGTTCAGCCGTCCGTCCACAATCCTTCCACGCTGCAGCCTGTCCTACTCACTGTCACTCTTGTCCACCAGTACCGCGTCAGACTCCTCCGTGATCTCCAGCAGTGTGTGCATCTCAGGGCTCTCCCCACGCAGCAGATCTGCGTTTTCGGCTTCCTCTCCACCCACCTCCACCAGCTCTGCGGCTTTCACTTCTACCTCACCCTCTCTTATTTTCTTGACATGGAAAGTGAAGGGCGGCACCTTGTAGACAGCTGTCTTGGACCTGGCATAGATAGTGTGGTCAGGGGTGAAAGACTTCCTCAGCTTGTCCCGAGAGGTTTTCATCTTCTCTCTCCTTTCATTGGTTACAATCTTGGTGCCCAGCTTGTTCATCCTCTTCTCCAGGTTGTGGCGGGTCTTCTCCAAGTTGTGGCGGGTCTTCTCCAGATTTTCCTTGGTCTTCAGCTTAGTCTTCTCCATCTTCTCCTTTGAAAATGCCTTCTTAAAGTCATCCACTCTCTTCATGCCGCTCCTTTTGATGCGCTCTGCCCGTGACTCTTCAATAATCTCTTCAATCTCCACCTCTTCATCTGAGGAGAGCTGGACGTGATCCTCCTCTGCATGGTCCTCACCTGCAGGTACCTCCTCACCCTCTCCTTCCTTCTCTTGCTTCTCGCCCTCTGTCAAGGACTTACTGATGCTCAGTTTTGAAGGGAGCTTCACTTCATCCTGCAAGACACAGAGCGGAGCCAGTGAGACATGCACATCCAGCCTCCCTGCAGAGCAATAGCACAGTTGGGATTCATGGCTAGTCAAACCCAGCTGACCTCAGGCCTGGGCTTATCCTCTCCTTTTAGGACACCTGATAAATTACTCTAAAGAGGATCTGCTCTGTCCTGCAGCAGCTTAGGGCTCTGCTATATTTATGTTTGGATATACTAGCTCTGCACTCTCTGAGCTGGTTGCAAACCCATCAGGGACTGCAGCAGTGCAAGAAGCAGCAAGCACTGAAACTGGGCTTTGCTACTTCTTCCCCTGCCCCTGTCACACCCCCCCCCCCAGCTTTATCTTCATCCCAGAACCCCCCAGCATCTGAACAGTCCTATCTGTCTCCCCCTCAGGCCTGCAGCTTTCACCACCTCCTGCAGCCAGGGACCCCCATAACCAACCAAGAGCTGCTCTGCCCTCAGCCCATGCTGCAGGACAGGGCACTGGGAGGACAAGGCAGCAAGACAAGCCATGAGGAATTTGTAATCCTCCAAAGGACAGGACAAATCTAAAACTTTCCCAGGAGCTTCCCTGGAAAAGCTTCCCTTCACCTTTCACTTCTTGGGAAAGTGCTGCACAACATTTCTCTCACCAGCAAGCCAAGGCACAGAAACGAGCAGTAGTTTGCCCAAGGTCTGCCCCTCAGTGACAGAGGCAGTAAGAGAACCCAGGAGTTCTGGTTTCTCTTTCCAAACAGTGGATGTTGCTCTCCATCCTGATGACCTTCTCAATCCCAGCTGCAGAAATAGCTTGGCTTTTGCCTTGGCTCCCCCCAATCCAGGACAAAGGCATTCACCGTATCCTAATTTCAGAGCATGCTGGCTAACTGAAGAGCCATTTTGAACTGCTTCTACAGTTCTACTGCTTGGATCTCTGGGATCCAAGTTCCCAGCACACCCAGTTCTCTGAGGGGCAGAGGGTGCTCTGCCACGTTTCATGGCACTGCAACACCTGGGCTCATCCAGTGCAGGACCCAAGGAGGCCAAGCCAGTCTCCAGGGAGCTGCCAGCGTGGAGAGAGCCTGGAGCTGGGCTCTGGGCAGCGCATTTCCCAGAGAGTCCAGGCCGACAGAGCCAGAGGCTCTGCACCAGCAGGATTGCCCTCATCCACGAGAAGCCATGGAGGAAGAGGGTCATTGGCCTGGCTGGGGCTCAAGGCCATTTCCCTCACCCTCCCATCTGCAGCCTGCCAAGGGTATTACCTCACTTTCACCATTTACACTGGAGTGTTTCCATCCTTCCTTTGTTTGTCAAAAGAGCAAGAGGCTCTTGGCTCCAACAGCTCCGCTGTCCCCTGCCCAGCCAGGGTGTCTGTCAACATCTCTCCACTAGAGCTTTCCTGCCACTGTTCTCAGCCTCATGCAATCAGCTGTGGCCCTTCCCTCACAGTTTGTCCCTCTTGCTCCATCTCACAAGAGGTGATCAGGACAGTGAGAACTTCTCCGCGTGACTAGTCACCAGGGTGAGGCTGGGGCAGAGTCCACAGCTGTGTCAAGAGTGGAGACAGCACCCATCATGCACTCCCTCTCCTGCCTCTGCACCTCCTAAAGCTCTGTTGTCATTTATGGCTGCACAAAGCAGGTGGATTCCAGGTGGATTCTCCACCTGTGGGATTTGGTACAGGGTGTAAGCGGTAGCACAAACCCGCAGGCAGAGAAGGGCAGAGCTCTGGAGTTCAGGTGGGCTGAGGCTGAGCAGGGCCAGCCTGGACAACGTGCACTGACATCACACCACTGTGCACCCATCTGGGCTGTGCCTCTGCATCTGGGAAGCTGTTGCAAAAAATTCCCCTCAGTGTGGGATGCACTGACCACGCAGATCCACCCTCGGCACCAGGTCAGCCCCAGAGCTCTGCAGGAGCAGAGAACTGGTACCCTGGCAAAAGGTCCCTAGCAAACGCCACCTCTGGCACTTCATTCCTGCCCCCACCAGCCACAGGGAGCTGGATCTGAGCTCCTGGGATCCAAATCCAAATTCAAATGTCCTCGCCTTGCACCATAGCTCTGTGTTTCTAACCCACTGCAGCAACCCCTGCCTGAAGGCCGGGTCTTCATGCCCCAGCGCCAAGCCAGCTGCGCAACGCAGCAGCTGGTGAGCAGAACTGGTGCCCATCCAGGAGCTTGCAGGGCGCTCATGTCCCAACCTGTCCCCATGAGGGTTCCTTCCAGTGTGAACATGCACACGTGTACATGTGTACGTGTCAGCTCAGCAGGTCGGCACACAGGGTCCCAGCCGCACCCAGCCCAAAGCCAAGGCTGGAAGCACAGGATGGAAATACTAGCAGCTGGCACTGATAGCATTCGCCTTCCCAACATGCCTTGATATGACTGTTATTTTCCTAATGAAAGATGAGTTTCCAGCTCAGGCTGCGCTGCAGCTGGACAGCCAGCATGATGCACAGGCTTGGGGATGTGAAATGAAAAGCACCTGGCTCTCAGCTGCCTCAGCGGGGCACTCGCCTCTCACGCTTGCTGCAGATCCGCCAGTGATACCCGATGCTTTCAGATGCTGGCTGGGGCCTGGCCATCCCCTGTCACCTGCGCACGCCGTTGTCCATCTCCCCCCAGGAAGAGGAGCCGGGCAATCCAGCTCTGCAATGCGGTGCCCTTTGCTCCCGGGTGCCTTGCCCACAACCATCCATACCCCCATTAGCCTGGTCCCCACAATTAGCAAAGGCCACATAAGGTTTATCGCAGGACTGCTCAGCTGCAGCACTGCTCCGGAAGGCTGCCCTCCTAGCTAAATCGAAACCCCATACCCTTCCCGCTTTCTTCCCGCAGGTTGTTTTCTCCTGGTGAGATTTCCCGGTGCCTCTTCAGCTCTCCCATTGCCTGTTGCCAGCGTTGCAAGGGTCCGGTGCAGGTACTGGCCCCTGACACATCGCAGCGCTGGGCTGCAGGTGGCAGCACAGTCCGGACCCAGGCGACCGGCTACATGGTCTGGAGTGGAAACACACTGGCCTGGCCTCGACCTCGGGGTCTGCGCTCAGACTTTCCCAAGGCCTGCAGGGATCCAGATGTAGGGCTGAGACATCTCTTGGGATGTAGCATGCAGCCCTGTTTTTCCCATTATGCCACTGGAGAAGTAAGACAGTGAACTTGTCCGAGTTTATGTCTGAACCAGACAGAGACCACAGGTCCTGACTCACGTCAGCTAAGTCTGCAAGTTTACGCTGTGCCTCCTGGGCACAGAAGGTAAATTCATTCAGTTTCTCCACTTTCCTGGGTCAGCCAAGTTTTTGATCCCTGTGGCAGAGGACAAGCATGTGCACAGGAGAGGCACTCAGGCCAGGAGAGGGGCACAGGTCTGGAATGGGATTGGTTTTCATCCGAACAGCACATAGCGTGCATCCCTGCTGCAATGAATCACCTCTATGTTCTCAGGACAGGCTGGAAATAGCCCATCACTGTACAAAGCGTCACAGCTGCGGGGCTGCAGCCCACGGCTCAGAAATTTATTACCCGAGTTGTTTTAATCTATGGAGCTGGGAGGGAGAGGCGTGGAATTTTGGAGATGAGCGCGGTCAGAAAGCCAGCAAGAGCCTGAAGGGAGCATGTGAATGGGCTTCGTGTTAGGAGCAGGCACAGCCCATCCTACCCTGGGATAGCCCCTGGGAACACGCACAGAGCAGAATCGCCTGGGTTAAGATCTAGAGAAAAAGATGAAAGCAGGACGCGTGGGCTCAATTCACAGCCCTGGTGGAGACGAGAGTTGGGCAGAGCAAGGACTGGAGATAACAGTCCCGACACTGGCATGAGCAGGGCCCAGTAAAATCAAGTGATACATCAAGCCTGCACACTCTGCGTTAGCCACGCTTGCACAGCAGCAACTACTGCACCAGCTGGGCTCTAAGCTAATGACAAACCATCAACGGCTCCCGAGCCCAGGCCCCGAGCAGCCACTGCCAGCTCCAGACCTGCACAGCTTTCTCTGGCGGTGCCTACGTGCATGCCTGGCGGGGACCTCCCGCAGCAGAGGACGTTCTGATCCCTCTAGTGCAATACCGGAAGGGACTTTGTGATTCGCACACAAGTGCCCCTGCCGTGACACGAACGCGCTTGCTGACCGGCTGACAACGATCACCTCCGCGTCCGCTCTCCAGCGTGAGCCGGTACTCGGGCGCAGGACAGGACACCTCCCTCTGCAGATGCAGAGCTGCTCCGCTCAGCCACGCTACTCACTTTCCAGCTCTTCCTTTCCTTATACTACATAAGAACTGACAGAAGTTTATTGAATACATGATTTCAGCAATGCTTCACTTGGGTCAAATACAGATGTTTTTAGTTGCTTTCTCATTTTTCCCCCCAAGCATAGGACAGTTCTGTTCCTTGACAAGCAGAAGTTCTAAAGAGAAGAGGGAATCTGGGGAAAAATCTGTAAATAGTGAAAGATAGGTAAGTTCCACGGAGCGCTTGGCTCAGTAAAGGTTACAACGATTTGCAGTGTCCGCGGCCAAGAGGCACACGCTGCCAGACCAAGGGTTTTTCTCCTCGGGGGCTATGCAGAACAGAAAGCTGCACTGGGCAAAACTCTTCACCTTTTAAGTCACGGCTTGGGTCTCAGCTACTTTCTGGAGATTAAGGTGAAGCAGCCAACATATGTTTTCTTCATCTGATTAGCCACTTTAAGAGAAAACAATACACATGCTCTCAAGAGGATCAGGTCAGTTCAGAATAAATTCACAAGCACTATGAAGGCAGCAGTCATATTCTCCATAACAACACCTGCTGGAGCAATCCCAGGGACTTCCACAGACCCTGGCCCCCACCAAGCCAAGAACATCAGGAACTCCAGCCACTTCCTTCCCTCTGAGTCAACACAATCAGCCAGAACAAAGGCATTCCCCCATCTCTCCCTGGCATGACTGTCACTGGAAATATGCCATATCCTGCAAACTCAGATACTTATCAGCCCCTTGTTAACTCCAGAACACGTGTGTACAAAAAGAAACACCAGCTCAAA